CACGCTGCAGGGTTTAAATTTATCTAATATTCTCTTTTTTTGGGAAAAGAAAAAACCTTTATTTAATATTCTTGTTTTAATTTGTTCAGGATTTTACTTTCAATGTCTCTGGAGGAGCGCTTTCAGAAGTTGCTTTGTGAGGTCTGTTGCAACTTAGGACTGCTTTCTGCTGCATAATTGTGATTTACACATTTTTTTTAGATGCATTGATACAACTAATGCATCACTTACTGGTTTATTACTTGTGTTAACCCTATTATTTTCAGTTTTCTTCTCATTTCTCTTTCACTGGGAAACATGGTGGTGTTTCTGGGGATTTTAATAATTTTACAATTGGTTGGAGTGCTTATCCTTTTGAGTTTAAAAGGCTAGCAAGCCTATCCTATTTTCTTAAACAAGATCCTGAAAAATTCAAAGCATGAATTTGGATCTTTTGAGTTGTAGCTCACAGACTCTTCACAAAAATCTCCTGGATGGAACGGAGTAATTTGAAGTCTAGATTAGGAAAATCTATTTGTTGGGATTCACTTGCAGGACTCCCTTAATGCATCTTTCCCCCCCTTTCTGATCAAATCCGGCTGTTTTCTCAATATAGGGACCACCGCTTCAACGATTTAGCACTCTTAAGTATTATGCTCTTGATGATCCCATTGAAGATGTTTTCAGAGTTCTTCAGCAGCATGCCTTACTAGTGCAAGGGCTATGGACTCCAAAAACTAGGTTGCTGAACCTAGATCCAGCCCTTTCATTTGGAAGAGATTATGCACTGGTTCTGTTTAGCAAGGACGTGAAAATCAGATCTTCTCAGCTGGATGAATTAGGACGGCATAAAGATAGGGTGAAAGAGATCTTGACTACTCTAGCCACTGAAAGACGCTCCTTAGAGTATTGGAAGCTCAAAGAGCCCCCTGATGTGGCATTCATGAAACAGTATCCAGAGATTGTTAAGAAACAAGAACAAGTTTGGAAAACTATGGAAGACATTGTCTTCTCTGGCATTCGAGGTGCAAAAGGTGGAGCTGCAAATAGGAAAATTATACGTGGTCAAAAACCTTCCGTTGCTGGTAAGCCTGAAAACACTGTGGATTCTGACAAGGGTACAACTAAAGCCTTAAGTGGCGCACAAACTAGGAGGACAATGTCAGATGAAACTCGAAAGGCTCTACCAAAGGCCTTGATAAAGGTCTTCCAAAATCATAAAGTTTGCAGGTCTTGTTTCTCATCTTTCCTCTTTCTGCCTATAGATCTTGAAGAACTTTTGCCTTTTGTTGCTCCTTGTTCCATATTTTTGCCCCTTAGAGGGGTTTTATTGGAATGTTATGCATAAGTATGAGGATCAGTAATTGCAAGAATTTTACAACCAGTCGACATTCTATTAGGCTTTGCATTTGCGATTGTATTTTTGCTTCAACTCTAGTTAATTCAGCAAACTGTCTGCCATGCAGTTGGATTTGTTAATGTGGGTTTGTTATGCGTTTGTGTTTTTCTGGGTATTTGATGGTGATGGTAGTTTCTTTTTTGGTCTGCTGTACTGATAGTATCAGCTATTGCTTTATAGTTCAGCAAAGTAATAAGTTGAAAATCCTGATCTTTTGTTAACTGTACTGAAGCCTTGAGAGAGAGGTGTTTGTTACCCATGGTATAAATCTGAGCACAAGCTTTTGTTTAAGAACTTTATCTATTTTGGATAAATCAGGTAATTGACATCAAAAGACCCGCTATAATTTACTTCATCATTATGTGGTGTTGTGATTGTTGGCATCCAGTCACTATGTTAATTGGAAATGTTTAGTGTTGGTATCACCTGCTCTTAATACTATAATTATATGCTCTTGGCAGCTTTCAACAAATTTGCCAAGGATTGCGAGATTTGGCCGTTTCCAAGTCTACTATTCCAAAGGCAGATTCAAGTATGGAAGTGGTTGCAGCATATGGTGTTGATGCTCCAGCGGAGGAGCTCCAAGAAGTCATAAGTCAAGTTGCAACTAATATACATGGTTATTATGTTTTAAAGTCATCCCCAGAGCATCCCCTACTTGATCCTTTGAGGTGATTCCAATTCTTTTTTAATGAAAGAATATTCTGATTGATCGAAGTTTAGGTTTACAACTGAAATTGTAGCTACATTTGATGTATCTATGATTTGAAGTTATCCACTAAATGGAAGTTTCTGAAGACACTTGTATTCCACCTTGTAGGAAAGTTGTGATTGATCTTCTATGTGTGAAAGGACCTGATGCAAAGCTTAAGAAGGCTGATATCTTTACAGCTGCCAAGATTGCTCTGAACAAAGATATAACAAGTGCTGACTATAACAAGGTCTGTTATGTACTTTGTCCACAGGCTTTCTAGATTTCGTGCAATCATCATCTTCTATTTTTTCCCGCTACGAGTCAATACAAGCCACAAAGGCTTACTTGGGTTGAATGAATCCATAGATTCACATAACAAACGAAAAGGCTTCTTTGACTGTTGGTATAGCTAAAGATGTCAGGAATCTCTGAACTTCTGAGGATTATGATTGAGTCATAACTATGCTAAACTTGGTAACCAGTTTCTGTTATTTTGCTGGCTTTGTCTATAGTTTTTTTTTTATAAAAAAAAAATGGTTGTAATATGGTACAGAGAAGGGTTAAAAACCAGATTAAACTCCATGTAAAGAGTAGGTGCAAACAACTGAGCCAAAGACTCTTGGGGGCTTAATTTCAAATTTTAGGGTACAATTTTGGAATCTAAAAAGTCTTTACGCTTCTATTCTTTTGGCCTGAAATTCTTGGTTCTTAAACAAAGAGAATATGAATGTGTCAGATAATGTAAATAACAGAATGTTACTTGCGTCGAGTCATTCTTAGTTACATTAGATAATAACTTGTTTTCAAAGAAGTTTTTCACGTGTCATTTAATTTAAGCATTTCTCTTGCAGGTCATGACTGACTTTTGCGAATCCAGAGGTTCCGCTTGGGTTTTGAAAAGAGGGGATGTAAATCCAAAATGAGTTCAGTTACAATTTACAGTATTGTTGCGAAGCTGTTTATAGGTACGAAATCAGTAGATTGATTTCTTTTGTGCTCCTTATGGGAATATACTGCACGATGATACTATTTTTAGACATGATGCAGGAAACCATGAAATGATCCTGCAAGATTCTAAAAAAAATTCGGTTTTCTAGAAAATTTTAATAAAGCAAAGTTCTTCAATATTTTGTAATAGTTAATAAAGGTTTTGAAGGCAAAAATATTTGGTTTCCGTCAACTTTATTGAACTATTTTCTTTATTTACATGAAGAGGGATATAGTTACACCCCTGCAGGAACACTTTTTTCCCCGTGGATTTGATTTTGGTTGATGGATATAAGCATCCATCCCCAAAAGTTCTTACAATTGCAAAGCTTCAAACTACAGTTTACACCGACAATGTGAAGATAAAATTTCTGAGGGAGTTGAAAGGGCTTTGAAAGTTCAGTCTCAGAGCTTCAAACTTCAGTCATAAAACAGTTGTTACTCAGTGAGATCGTGCTTTATGCTATCTTTTATACTAAATGTTGATTTTTTTTTTTTTTTTTTTTTTTTCCTTTCTCAAGTATTCTCAAATGATACTAGAAATTTGCTATATGGTTCAAGTTCAGATTTCTTTGACCTGATTTGTCGTTAGTTCGGTGAGCCTAGTGCGAATCATCTTTAACCATGAATTAGTGAAGTATTCTAGTTTGAAGATTATTTAGTTGCGCGTATGTCAAATTGTTTTTGTTTTTGTTTTTTTACTTAATTTTCCTGGTTAAATTACACAGGCTCTTCTAACAAAAATCTAACAGATGAAAAAGTATTTTCCCTCGAACAAATCATAGAAATGTATTTATTTGAATGGAATGATTTTGTCAAAAAGAATTAGTATAAATATAAGGTAGGCCATTCTAGATATAACATATCTTATACTTACAACGTCTATATTATCTACTCGGTAAAACAGATCATGCTCCATAAAGTAGTACATACTCTGTTTGCAACACGTCAATTGGTAGTAATTTAGAATTAACCTCTATACATTTAAGTTTTTCATTATAATTATCATATATCTTTTATATATTATCTACGTTTTGCGCGCGCGCACACACATATATGTGTACAATAAATAAGTTTTAGTTATATGTGTATAATTAATAAGTCAAAAATGTTTGGCTTACATGCCCTTCATCGAACATATATATTCAAGTATTTTACTACACATAACGGATTTAATATTTTTAGATTAACCTTTTAGCATGTTTAAATTGATTTAAACTATTAACAGTCAAAATCCATCTAATCTAAGTTTATGTTTATAATTAATGATCAACAAAATCTAATGAAATTTTATATGTATTATTCAAATTTTACATTTTTAAAATTTATACAAGTTTTCAAGCTTAAATATAATAAAACTTCAAATAAAAAATAATTTTACTTTTAAAGTTAATTTCATATTAAATTAAAATTAAGTGTTTTGTAGTTCTTTTTTAGCATGTAAAAATTATAAATTTATTATTGTAGATTTAACAATTGGTAAATTTAATCTTATCATGTATCAACTGTACTAGTTATAAATAAAATAAACTAGGTTTTAAGCAAAAGCGAGATTAACAGTAACTTTAAAGGAATTTGGGTAAAGAGACGCGGTCAATTTTTGCTGACATAAAGGTGCTCGTTCTCCCCTAATTAAATGACAAAAATGCCTTACATTTACTGTAATATATCCAATAACCTTCACACGATCGTCACGCGCTATAAAAGGAGGCGAAATGGCCGTCTTTAGCCCTAGAATTCTCATCACTCTTTCGAGTCTCGCGTTTTGTTCAGTGTCGCAGACAAGCCTCTCCACTTCAGAGAGCCAGACAAGGAGAAGAAGGGGAGAAATCATTGGAAGGAAAAAATAAATATGACGGACTATGAAGGGAGATACGAAGGGAATGGACAAGATTTTGACAATAACTTCGTCGATGCCTCCTCTCCACAACCTCGTGTTAGCGGCCATGGCGGTGCCGATGATCTAACCGAGTCCAAATCTCAGGTACATATCTACATAATACGCGCAACTTCAATTCTTCGTGTATATTTGCGCAGTCATATTTTCGCAATTAGTTGGATTTTTCTTACGGGATCGCTCTCGAGAGATCGGAGAACCTTGTCTGCTGACTGCTGAATGTTAGAGATTAGTTTTAGTTCGAAAATAGTGTGTTTGGAGTGAAATTCAGGGCTCTCGATGAGTTAGTTAATGAGCACCGGATGTTTGAAGTTATGGTTTTTCTATAATTATTTTCTTTGTACACTTTCTGTTGATAATGCCGTGAGATAAGTAATTCAATAGAAGAATACCTGTATGGTAAGATACCAAGGCTTGGATTCTGCTTTGATGTTATTTAACTTGGTCCAATAGCAAACCTAGACATGATAGCATCTGTTTTCAATTTGGATATCCGTCACGCTCCTGTGTTTCTCGCCCTGGGCGTTCTTTTATGCTTTTAATTTGGACATGTGTCATGTACGTTGAAATATTTTAGGTCATTTTGTTACTGGTTAAACATGGCAAACAATGCCATCATCAGTATCTCAAAGATGCCTTAATTTTTTAATATACGGATCATTAGTCGGTTATATATATTTTTAGTTTTATTATATAATTTAATCAATCATGTGCATTCACAGCATGAATCTCGGGATCATGAAAGAGAATCATCAAGAAGTAGGGAAAAGGATCGGGAAAAGGGGCGTGATAGAGATAGGGATCGAGACCGGGATCGGCATAGGGATAGGGATAGGGATAGGGACAGGGATAGGGATAGTGAAAGAAGCAGGGACAGAGACAAGGATAGGGAAAAGGATCGTGATCGTCATCATAGAGATCGTCACAGGGATCGAAGTAGGGAGCGCAGTGAAAGAATAGAACGCAGCAGAGAAGATGATGATTATTACAAGAGTAGAGACTATGACAGGTATCAATCAGAAAACTGTATGTCAATAAGTCATATTCTTATAAATGTACTAATGATATTGTTTTGACGTTCCTATTAGACGAAGAGATCATGATAGAGACAGAGCAGACAGGCACCGGGGCCGATCTCGATCCCGCTCACCTTCTCGTTCAAGGGCTAAATCTGAGCATGGATCAAGGTCACGATCCCGTTCACGTTCAAAGAGGTTGGTTGTGCTTTATGTTTGGGCTAACTTAAGTATTTATCGTTGATTGTCCTAATTTGACTCTCAAACTTCACGCAGTGATGTATACTTCCCCTTAGCTTTTACCTAGTCAAATGGCAGTGAGGATTTTTGTGTAGTTAATTCTTTAGTTTCTTCTTCATGTATGCTAATCATATTTGTCTACAGCAAGAGGATCAGTGGATTCGATATGGCACCTCCTGCTTCTGCAATGTTGGCTGCTGGTGCTGCAGCAGCTGCTGCAGGTACAGATACTTCTCATCTTCTTAGTGTTGTCATATCTTTTAACTGCTATTGGTTTGTTTTTGTTTGACGTAGTGTGGAAAGTTCGTATCAAATTACATGGTGTCATTTTGGTAAGCGTACTTTATTTTATTTGCACCTCTAGTCTTTTAAAATTTTGGTCTCTAGATGGGCTGTACTATTATTTTAATTGTTTACTTGGTGAAATAATTATTGAACTGAGAGTTTGGTTGTCTTTTGTTTGGTGTTGTTTGTTTGTTTCTATGTCTTGTCCTTTTTTGTAAGAAGGCAATGTTGGGCTACTTGCCCCACTGTGCTGACAATGGGCGTGAGCCGACCTCTCTAGCTTTTATGTACAAGGAGGAATCCATGCAACGGTTTGATGGGTATTGTTCGTCTTCAACTGGCAACTATTGCCTGTTTTGGTAGTCTTGCAGATATTTCCTCCAGAACTTATATATGATATTGTCCATTCTTCTCTTTCTAAAAATATTGTGCAGCTTTAGGGTATTGCCATTGGCCAATAGGAAAATAAACATATACTAGATCCTTTCTAGTTCATTTGCTGGTTCAAAAGATTTTTTTAATTATTGTATATTGATATGTAATTTCATTTCGCTTTGTAGGTCAAATCCCTGGGACTAATCCTTCACTACCTGGAATGTTTCCCAATGTGTTTCCTTTGGCGACTGGTCAGGTATGCTTACATTTCTCCTTACAATTGTTCTGACATCAATTTTTTATTGGGATTAATTTTTGTGTTGTTCTATCATGCAGCCGTTTGGTGCTCTCCCTGTTATGCCAGTTCAGGCCATGACCCAGCAGGTTGGCAGAAACAGTAAAAAAGTTTTTTGATGTATTTATTTTATAAATATTTCCTCACTTGCACATTGTTCTTATGATTTGTATAGGTTGTCAGAAACAGAAAAAAGTTTTTAGATGTATTTATTTTATAAATATTTCCTCGCTTGCACACTGTTCTCATGATTTATTTTCTGCTTTCTTCTAGGCTACTAGGCATGCGCGGCGAGTCTATGTTGGAGGTCTCCCACCTACAGCAAATGAACAGGTTCTACTATCAACCTTGGTTTTTACTATTCTCTATATAATTTCATAGATTTTGTGCTAACATTGATTGCTTATGTTCTACAGTCTGTAGCAACTTTTTTTAGTCAGGTTATGGCAGCAATAGGGGGGAATACCGCCGGTCCAGGTATAACTAATCTTTTGTTTGAGCAATTGTAAGCAAACTACCTTTATGTGGATTATTGCTCAGCTTTCTCGTTTATTCTCAGGTGATGCTGTTGTCAACGTGTACATAAACCATGAAAAGAAGTTTGCTTTTGTGGAAATGAGATCTGTTGAGGAAGCCAGCAACGCAATGGCTCTTGATGGGATTATATTTGAGGTATTTTTTTCTATTAGCTTCTGTGATTCTTGAAAAACACTATATTTATTAAATATGTTATTGATATTTTTGAAACTCAAGGGAGCACCTGTGAAGGTTAGAAGACCCAGCGACTATAATCCATCTCTGGCGGCAACTCTAGGTCCTAGCCAGCCCAATCCCAATCTCAATTTGGCTGCTGTTGGTCTGACACCTGGTTCTGCTGGTGGGCTTGAGGGTCCTGACCGTATTTTTGTTGGTGGGCTTCCCTACTACTTCACAGAAGCACAAATCAGAGAGTTGTTGGAATCTTTTGGACCCCTTAGAGGTTTTGATCTTGTAAAGGACAGAGAAACAGGAAACTCGAAGGGCTATGCTTTTTGTGTTTATCAGGATCTCTCAGTTACAGACATAGCATGTGCAGCTCTCAATGGAATCAAAATGGGTGACAAAACTCTTACGGTCAGACGTGCAAACCAGGGTGCTAACCAACCTAAACCTGAGCAGGAGAATGTCTTGTTGCATGCACAACAGCAGATTGCTTTGCAGGTAAAAATAAATCTACCCCCCGGCTGTGTCTTATTGCGAGATTTCTGACCCTTTCACATGCGTAATCACATAGTTTGAGTCCTTGTCCATCTCACAGAAAAAAAGTAGCATACTTGTGGTGTCGAATATTAGTTAATTTGATCTTGCTCTCTTTTGCAGAGACTAATGTTACAGCCAGGTGGAGTGCCCAGCAAGGTTGTTTGCCTGACTCAAGTGGTTACTGCAGATGAACTCAGAGATGATGAAGAGTATGAAGATATATTAGAAGACATGAGACAAGAAGGCGGAAAGTTTGGTATGGACTCTGAATGTTCAATACATATATAAATGGCCAAATTATTCAGTCTTTTGAGTTTTGGACATAAATACAACTGAGTCCATTATTTTGAAAATATTGCAATTCAGTCCTTCAAATTTGAAAGAATATTGGTACAGTAGTCTAACTGCAGAAAGTTTGATATGATCTTTGAACATCCTACAAATATATTTATAGATACACGGGCTTTAGAGTTTTGAGCGTAAATAGAACAGAGGCCATTATTTTGAAAGTATTGCAATTCAGTCCTTAAAATTTGAAAGAATATTGGTACAGTAGTCTAACTGCAGAAAGTTTGGTAGGAACTTTGAACACTCCACAAATATATTTATGCACACACAGGCTTTTGAGTCTTGGACATAAATTGAACAGAGTCCATATTTTGAAAGTATTGCAATTCAGTCCTTAAAATTTTGAAAGAATATCGGTACAGGAGTCTAACTGTGGTTTAGATCATTTCTAAAGATTTATTCTTTTCATCACCCTTGCATCTCAACCTAACCTATTTGCTCATAATTAGTTGAGAAAATTACCTCTACCTAGCCCATATACTCATAATTACTTAGAGAAAATTATAGGGCTTTCTCTTTGGGTAGCGAGGAAAAAGAAATTATATAGATCACTATCTTAAACGACAAAATTATGCAAAACATGTACAGAACTAATTTTTTGTCCAAAAGGCTGACAACAAAGGGGAAAAAACTCCATGTCTATATAAGACTCGTCAGTATGTATATAAATGATACACAAAATAAACATACATATATACATGTACACGAGTACGCATCATGACTACTAAAGTGATCAAAATTTGAAACTGAATGAAGGGGATCAAATTGATCCAATTGGTGCAGGGTTGAATGGTATGGTACTTCCTGTGTTACAAAATGGTCCTGCTTGCTTTTTCTTTTTTTGTTGTAACTGAGACATAATAGAAAGGTCTCATTGTTATGTTTTCGAAATAATGGATCTGGTTGTAATTAGGGTCAAAACCTAGGGATTGTGTACTTTATCATATATTTTATTTACTTTAATCTTTCCTTAAGCATGTTAAGCTTGTAGAGTTATTGATTTTTCTTTATTTTGTTTGTTGTATATCTCTGTTTTACAGCTTTTTGTAGTCCCACATTCTACTGCTATAAAGAATCAGGCCTAACATACACAGACAGAAGACTCCTTAACCTTCCATCTATTTTCACTTGACAAGTTTTTCTTTGCTAATATTTGTAGAATTTGTGGATTTGGAATTTTTACTCTTTCTGTGCAGGTCCATTGGTGAATATTGTCATTCCACGTCCAAATCCAAATGGAGAAGTAGGCCCAGGTGTTGGAAAGGTCAGTATGAATTTTATATATTAAGTAATTGACATTTTCATAATTCATAATGTCAGACAGATACCAAGACTAGGCGTTTCTATTGGTATTCCAGGTATTCTTGGAGTACGCAGATGTAGATGGTGCATCAAAAGCCCGAGGAGGGATGAATGGGAGGAAATTTGGTGGCAACCAAGTCATGGCTGTCTTTTATCCAGAGAACAAATTTGCCCAGGGGGACTATGAAGGCTAATGACTTACTTTATGTTGCCTGGATTTTGCTTTCACATTTGCTTTGTTAGTAAGTAGTAGATAGGTAATGAAAATGTCTTTAATGACAGCTATATTAGTTGTGTTTTGGCCATTGTTGACAGCTAACTGGACTCAGAAACACCAAGATGGTTTGTTTATTGAAACTGTAGAAATGAATGTCCTTTTGGAATTTAATTTTAATGTTGAGGTAGTCTTATGGCGCTAGCAATTCGTGGTGGTCTTGTAAGTCTCAAAAACCTCGGCTGCAAGTTAACCCTGCATATTGTCAAGCATGGTTTATAGTTGTTTCCTGTCGCCCATGGGTTCTTGCGGTGTTTTACTGGTTTTCATTGCCGTGGCTTTACTTGTCAATGCACTGATTGGAACAGGTTACTAATTTTCACTGTTGGGTAAGTATTCAAGTTTCTCCAGTATTGGGCATATTTTAATAAAAACTAATAAAGTACAAGTTGTTTGATTAATTTTAGTTAATTGCCATAGTGAGAGGTCGGTATGTCTAATCAAGTGTCTATTTTAGCAATTTTTTGAAGGGTATTAAAATCTGGTATTTATGTTGTCATGATTAAATTAATTATTAAAATATAAGAAGAACGTCTTCTGAAATTAAATAATCTTCGTATGAATTCCATGTTTCTCTATCATCAAAAAAGAACTTCTTCTTTGAGAACTAGTATGTAACAATATCAGTGATGAGATACTTATGATATATATTTTCTCAGTTTTAAAAAATTTATTGTTGCGTCTTGCAAATTGCAATGAACACTTGACACTTTATTATTAAATAAAATTTTATTTAAAGCATCTTATTGCATTAATTAATTTATTTATTTTTAATAATCCTAAACACTCTTTTATATGGATAGTAATAGTTGTAATTGCAAGAATAAACATCTAGCCTATACAAAAATTCAATGTCCATTTGATTAAATTTTTGTTTATGCTTTTGTTGGCAGAAAAAAAAAAAAATCTTAACCAAATACTATAAAACATAATCTATTTTTAACTTTTGATAGTAATAAGTCAAATAAGATATGTAAGATGAGAAAAATATATAATGAATTTATTTATTGATTTTATGTTTTATTAATTTAATATTTTAAATAAAATGTAATAGCCATTTATTATTACATTTCTTTCAAGTACTTTATTTTTAAATTAATATTTTTTATTAATGTTATGATATAATTAATTAACTTATAATTACATATTTTATGGTAAGGGAAAACAGGGGAGAAAAGAAAAAGCCTAACAGAAGTCTCCAATTCAGGAATGGCAAGCAATTGAAGACCGGTAAACCCATTCCTTAAACCCTAAATTCCACTACTCTCTGTTTGCTCGCTGCTGGTTCGTTTTCACTTCATTTCCTCGCTGCGGAAGCCCCAGAATACCATTACAATGTCATCTTCTCTTCGCCTCCGCCACCTTCGTCACCTCTCCTCGACAGCCACCGCGACCACGGCTGCTACTTCCACGACCTCTTCCTTCTCCATCTCAAAGGCAAAATCCATACTCCGAGCAGAACACGACCCGGACAAGGCCTTGGAAATCTATTCATCCGTTTCCAAACACTACTCTTCCCCTCTCTCCTCTCGCTACGCCCAGGAGCTCACCGTCAGGCGCCTCGCCAAGTCTCGTCGATTTGCAGACATCGAGTCTCTCATCGAGTCGCATAAGAATGATCCCAAAATCACCCAAGAGCCGTTTCTCTCCACTCTCATCAGATCCTATGGCCTTGCCGGTATGTTCGATCATGCCTTGAAGACTTTCCGTCAGATGGACCAACTGGGCACTCCCAGATCAGCCATCTCCTTCAACGCGCTATTGTCTGCTTGTGTTCAGTCCAAGCTGTATGACAGGGTGCCCGGTTTGTTCACTGAAATTGTCGAAAAATATGGCGTCTCGCCGGATAAGATTTCGTATGGAATACTTGTTAAATCTTATTGTGAAGCAGGTATGCTTGCGAAGGCCATGGAGACTCTGAGAGAGATGGAGTCGAAGGGAGTTGAGGTGACCGCCGTCACATTCACTACGATCTTGTCTTCCTTGTACAAGAAAGGAAAAGGCGAGGAGGCGGAGACGTTGTGGGGCGAGATGGTGAGGAATGGTTGCGAATTGGATGCGGCTGCGTATAACGTGCGGATCATGAATGCGCAGAACGAGAAACCAGAGAGAGTGAAGGAGCTGATTGAAGAAATGAGCAATGCGGGGTTGAAACCAGATACCATATCATATAACTACTTGATGATTTCTTATTGCAGACAGGGGATGATGGAGCAAGCTAAGGAGGTCTATGAAGGATTGGAGGCGAACGGGTGTAACCCAAATGCTTCAACTTTCAGGACTTTGATATATTACATGTGTAGAACAGGGGATTATGAGAAAGGATATAAGGTTTTCAAAGAGAGTGTGAGAGTGCACAAGATTCCTGATTTTAGTATAAGCAAACTTTTGGTGGAAGGATTGGTGAAGAAGGAGAAAACAAAGGAGGCTAAAGGATTGATACGGACTATGAAGAAGAAGTTCCCTCCTAATCTGTTAAACGCATGGAAGAAAGTCGAAGAGAATCTCAGTTTGGCTCCTGTTAACGTTGTGTCTTCTAAGGATGAAGAGGCTGCAGTGTGATGGTTGATGAAATTCATTGTTTTTTATTACTGTATTGGAGCTGCAGCTCATTGCCTAAACTACAGTTGCTTTGAGTTGTGATGAAGCATATAGGTGTTAGCTATATCAATCCCGCTAAATTATCAAATCCTATATGGTTATGCTGGTTTCATAAATTGGCTATGGAAGCTAAATTAGTAAAATGCTAGTAAGCCTATTTTTTGAGCTTCAAGAGTCTTTAGCCGTCTGTTATTTAATTTTGTTCTTTCTTTTCCTTCAGTTAATATTTTTGCTGCTCCAGTCTTTAAAGGTTGAATCTTTAAAATGATAAATTTATTTCACTGATGGTGCATTTCCCGAAGTTGTTTTCCTGTCTACTTTCTCTTCTTTCCCAACAGGTTTCTTACTTGATTAACTTATGGAGTGATCAACATCTTATACATTGATTTAACGGGGTTCTGTACCACTTATACAAAAGCACAATGGTTTTGTGCAAATTTATTTAGTCAAGTAAAAGATAACCATGATGGATTTGGTAATGATGTTGAGTCATTCATATATTGTTTACTAAAGAGTAGTTATATACATCACTGTGAAAGTTAATTAGTCTGCATTGTGATTTGTGGATCATGGTTGGATAATTTGTAGCAAGGTGATTCTAGCTGGCAGTAACCTTGTTAGATGATAAAATGTTGCAAAATATTGATGTGATTTTTATAATGAAGTTGTTTCTTAGTCAGATTGAAGAATCAAGGTCAACAGATGAACCTCTTATGTTTAGTATTAAGAAATGAAGTATATCACCGGGATATCTTCTAATTATGAATTAAGTTGCTAAAGTGAAACTTAACCAAATTTCATCACATTTGCGGATTAACTCCGGGATGATGGACAATCGACAGGGACAGTATGGGAGTTCATGAGATCATGTCTTCAAGGTAAAGATGAAAAGGTAAATAGAAGTGCTTTTAAGCATTGGACTTAATGTTTACCATTTCATTGTTTGGATAACAAGGGTTCCTGATACGTGGAACTCTTGTGGTTTTGGTTTTCATTAATATGATTCTTTCCAGGCATTGAATACTGCTATTTGGGAGTTATGTCTTGAGAACATTTTCATATCCCTTGTTAAATGCTGAGTTTTGCTTGAGTACAGTATTGAAGATTAATAGTGATCATTGATTAGTAATCATCATAGATTTATCTATATGTTTATGGTGCTGTCCAGGTTTCTGCTACTTTCACGCGCTAGCGTTCGTGGTATTTATTGCAATGCTAAATATTGATCACCAGGTGAACTTCCTAGACTTTTTCTAGATCATTGTTATTTATTTGTTACGTTAAAGGGAATGAATGGTTGTATCTCTAAGCATGAGATGACAGTCTTGTATGCATATAAGAACAATAACTAATGCTGAGATTGATTCAATTTCCAATCATTCCTAGTCAATTTCAAGGTTTAATTTTTATGTTAATCTTAATATCCATAATTATGACATAATTTGTTTTGATTGAGTTAGCACTGCTTCCTCTTAAATTTTGTAATGGTAGAAATTTGATTTTTGCTTTCCATGATTGGGGTTGAATTTTCAATATCAAGGAATTCAAGATAAAGTGTTAATAATTTAAAGTAACAAACTAGATTGTAATTGTGCATATTAAAATTAATTTGAGAATTAAAACTAGAGATTGATCTCAATTAAATGAGAAATGTAGCATGAGGAGAATGTCATGGCATCCACGCAGGTGATGCTTTTGCTTCATTTCCCACAGAATTCTTTTCTTGTCTCTTGTTTACATTTGATAATAATTCTGAAAAGTTTTGAAATTGTGCACGAGATGTCATGTATGCGGAAAGGATTTTAATTGAACCATACTGTTAATATATTTATATGTTAGCTTCTGTGATACAGAGAGTTCTGGCTGCAAGCATTTTCCTAGTTCCCAGGTCCTATACCTTGTTTGCTACTGGACTTCTAACGCTTCCAAATTTCCCTCAGGCTAGTGATATTATTGGTGCACAAATTACTGCACTGCATTATTGGTATTGCAACATTTTGTCGACCATCAAACCAGGTCCAATTCCACCTTAGGATTCAGGCACCCGGACAAGCAGCTTTGATCGGATCAGTCACCATCGCCATCTTCAAGTTGAAAACTCTGATAATTCATCTGGATACTCTTTCCTTTTTTAATGTATCTTATTTCAGTTTGAACCTGTAGTTATTTAATTTTCCAATATTAGGATGATGTGAGTGATTGCATGAGCTGCTGAACAAAAATATCACAAATATATGAAGTGACTTGATTTTATGAAATTTCTTTTGCACTGGCTGTATATAGGATCCTGCTGCATTTTACAGTCTCTGTGTAGAAGTTTAATTTTAGGGATTTGGTGTTCCATCCCAATAGAATGCTGAAAAAGTATAGCTGTGCCTTTATTATTATTGTTTTGTTTAAAGTAAGAAAAAAATTATTTGTCTAGAAATATAGATTAATTTGAACTTCTCATTTATCTATAGATAGATTAATGGGAACTTTCATATGTATAATATATATATAATTGATGTACTTTAAAAAAATAAAATATAAATTATATTCATAAACAACTGAGGATGCAATCCGTGTACAAAGTATATATAGTTGATGTACACATCCAGATTATTATTTTTCCCTAGTCTTCTTTCAAAAAGAAATCGTAGCTTAAAAATTCTTGCATAGATATCTATGACTGCTGTTAGGGGAAGTACAGAAGAAAATAACTCACCATCTTTTTTATAGGATGATAGTGATCATCACCATGAACCTGATAGGATCACATGGGTTTAATAAGTTTCATAATTACAAGGTTGGTAAACAAAATGTGCCAAGCTCTGGATGGCTTCAATTTCTCTTTCAAATTTTGCCTGCCAAATTTGTTTAGCTTCTGTTTTCATCAACCCACAAGGAGAAACTTCCTACATATATCCCCTCTTCTCCACATAATGAGAAATTCTTTTGCGTTAAAAGTATAAAAATAATTTCTTCTACATAATATTAACTCCATATGACTATTTTTTGCCGGGTATTTTACTTAATAAATACTTTCATATCCTAAACAAGGAGATTATACGAACTTGGTTCACTGTATTACTACTGTATTACATGAGTTTCATTGTTTTTGACTTTTTCCTTGAAAGCTCTATGTACGTGCCGCAGTATGTAAACCTGTCCTGTTTTGAGTTTTTGATTTTTAGCATCCGAAGTTCAAGGTAGCAAACAAATTATAACCCTGTCGTCCAAAGCCGTGAAGGACAAGAGGAGAACAAAAATCTATTTTCTTCACATGTATAGCAAGCAGAAAAGCAGGAAAGTCTCATAATTCTTCTCTCTTAATGTTGATATATATAGGTCCTCTGCCACAGCAAGACTCACAATTTGTACGAGTTTCTTCAATATTCATCTGCTGGAGTTTAGTTCTTTGTTTTCACCCTCTGATTCACAAAAATTTTGCAAGATCGGATTGGAACTAAAATTTTTTATAGGACTGAATTATAACATAATCCATATTTCATTAATGTTAATGGAAATATGATGTCATATTAACAAATAATTTATTTGAAATTTACGTTTTGCAGATAATGAAGATTTCTTTAAAACATCATGAAAGTTTATTTTTCGGAATAGATGCAATGCATTCTAAAATTCATTAAAAATTGGTGTAATTTGAAGTGCATTACTGTAGGTCTACTTTAAATTTGCTTAAAATGGTAATATTCATTCTTCTATACAAGATCTTCACTCTTATTTTTTTTAATTAAGCTAAGTGCGAAATTTCAAAATCTATAATTAATAAATTAGACAACAAGTTAATAGTATTCTCCTGCATATATATATATATATATATATATATATGGTCATGAGCTTTCTTGATCGTCCATTGAACCGGTCCTGATAAATACGTAAGTCTAAATATATTGATATGTATCTTCACTTTCATTACAGTTCTGTATAATCATTGTCTATTTTTTTGAAGATATAATTGTTTTCTATTAAGTAAACATTAATTATTTTCCTTCATTAGTTTGTAATTATTAACAGGTTAGTGCCGCAATTAGGACTTGAGGTTCAAACTTTAACCTTCAAAAGCATTTAAAAAGATGATAATGGAGTAGCAGAACAAAGCCTAACCAGTCTAGTTTAAGCTTAATACACACAATCCCTCTCCACACATTCTCCTATGCGCCATAAAACTAGAAAGTAAAGAAATTATATTAAGGTTGGTTTCTTTCATATTTTATTTTCTTCTCAAAATTTTTATTAAAATATATAATCATTCTCTTAAAGTATATATTATGGATGGGATAATTTTCTATAAATAGATTTTTTTTTTTATATTAAGGTTGGTTTCTTTCATATTTTATTTTCTTCTCAAAATTTTTATTAAAATATATAATCATTCTCTCAAAGTATATATTATGGATGGGATAATTTTTTTAAAAAAAAATCAATTCACTACTTTTCAAAATAGAATATAGTTAGAAATTTTGGGTTAAGATTTTTAATTAGTTTTATTTTATGTTAAAAAAATAGTTTGAAGTGAACTTTTATTTGGGTCAATTTATTTATCAAGAAGTGTTTTAAGTTGAAAGGACTCGGAACATTAAAGAAAATAGAATCATAAATTGAATGCAGAAGCGAAATAATAAAGTTAGAGTTTACATTCCTTACACAATAATTAAGAATACTCAATAAGATTACGAGAATAATTCTTCTGAAAAAATAAACGAAAAATTAAAGAAATAAATGAAAAGTAAACAACTGGGCGTCCTATTCGCAACCTTCTTGTGGATCGGGATCTGGATCTTTTTTCTCTTGATGTGAAATAATTAATGAAAGAGTGAGGTACACTAGTCCAGTAAGAATGTTACACTACTCACCGATACGGAAATGAATGTTGATAAAAATCATAAAAATAACTAATGGATCTCTTAATTTAAGTAAATTTATTTATTATAAATAAAATCATTTATTATATATTTACTGTAGTGAGATTTTCAAAACTGACCTATAGAGACAATAACACAAACAACATCATAATCCCTTTTTCAATTAGTCAGAACAACAACTTTCCCTTTTTTATCAACCTACTGGTATCCATTGGGGTCCATAGGAATGTCCCTACTACGCGTGAACTCTTATTCAACATTATCAACTAATCGACTGTCCCATTCCCCGTCCGGTATGAACACC